CATGATCCATGGTAGGAACGAAATAGGGTCGTAGGAGGTAGGATAGGAATAGTAAGAGTTTTTCAAAATTAATTGCTATGTGTTATAAATTCAATTGCTTTGATTATTAGGCTTTACTTATCTTCACAAAATATTTAACATCTAGATTAAAAAAAAACTGTGTAAATTTAATTTTCTTACATGAAATTCCTTAGAAAAACTTTTCAAAAGACTGTTTTTTTTTTTACAATAAAAGTTTTCTCAAAGAATATTAACTTTAGTTGGATGTGAATAAAGAAATAAGAGAAAAGAGAAATCTCAAAAAGGTCAATTAATTTTAAAAGGTCAATAAACGGACAAGATTTCTGGCATATACAAGCAAAACAAAGCTCATGCTGGCATTGGAGAAGGATCCTGAATGTGAAAGACAAAGTTAAGGATGAGTTTGATGAGGAGAAATGGAAGCATTTTGAGTCTGGTAAATATACTTTTTCCTCTGGTTATAACTCATTAGTAGCATAGAGGAATTGCCTCTTGCTGAATTTATGTGGGAAAGATACAATGTGCCAAAACACTCGTTCATTGTGTGGCTATTTTGGCATAACAGACTGCTCACTAGAGAAAGACTTTGAAAATGAATATATTGAAGGATAGTCTAAAACGCATTTTTTGTTGGAATCATCTAGAAACATCTTCCCATTTGTTCTTTGAATGTAAACAATCTGCTGAACTAATGATGGAGGTGGGAAGGTGGTTGAAGTTACCAAATCTATCAGGTGATCAAAAGGTTTAAAGAAGTTTGATATTGAAATGGTGTAAAAACCAGAAGCTGAGAAGGAGTTGTTATGCAAAATTCATACTTAAAATAATGGTGTTGTTAGACTTGAACCACTACCTTAGTGTCAGTTTTAGTCGTTAAAGTTCCTATAACAAATGCATATAAATATTGCCTCATTGAGAGAGAGAGAGAGAGAGAGAGAGAGAGAGGTAAAATTATGAAAGGAAATACAAATAAAATATTTTTCTTATCTTCGAAGTCAATCTCTCTAATGCAAACTTCTTGAAAAAAATAATAATAAATTTCAACGGTAAAATTAAAGAAAAATTCACGTAATATACCTGGTACCTAAACAACAAAAAAAATGTTGAAATTCCACAAGTAAAATTACAAGAAAAATCCAGGTAAAATATTTTTCTCATATTCAAATTCAGGAAATTTAAATTATAACAATATTAGTACCACTTAATTTTTATCTCACCTTTTTAAAATTTTTTTTACTATTTGCTTTTTTTTTATACTATTTCACAATTAACATTTCATCGAGTACATGGTATTTTTTCACAACTAGGAAACAACTTAATAATATCTTTTAACATATTACAAACAACGCACAGGAGTGAATGTAGTATAACCTAAAACATTATTACTCCTAGTACTCTCAAAAGTTTTTTTTAGGGTGGGGGCCATGGCCGCACGCCCCCACCGTAAATCAGCCCGTGCTTACGCACTCCCAATTTTTTCATTCTTTTTGCAATTTTACATGTTTTTGGCAAGTGCAAATACATATTTCTTCATTGCCATAACCCGTAAAAGTTAAGTTGAATCCATCAACATAATAATTGAATCACATGTTTAGATGATCAATTAACTTGCATGAACTAGGAAGAAAATGCGTGATAACCAGAGAATTAATAACAGTCTAACCAGTTAGGACGTTGTGCTTTATGATATTAGACTCGCATTCAACTCTCAGCAAAAATATGTAGGGAATTTACCCACATTTAAGTGGTGTTTTAAAAAAAAATGTGATAACCAGTATTCCTTTTTGGGATATACAAGATTTCGTGGGCAATTTTAATAATTGTGAGCATTGCAGGGAGTTTGTGTAATAAGAGGCTTTATCTTGTTACAGTTTCATGGCTTTGAGGCTTAGTCAAATGATTTCCCCTTCTCTTTTTGTTACAATACATATTTGATTTGATAATTTACCCCAATCGCTTCTGGAGTAGTCCCATCATATGCAATAAAATGATAAATGATAAAAAGGATAGCATGATCGCTTACTATTGCTGATTTTTTAAATTTAAAAAAAAAAGTTGAAGAAGGAAAATTTGTTTTGTAAAGTTGGAGCGAAGAAAAGAATAATAGAAAACAACTATATATGCACATTGACGATCTAGATATCTTTTTTTTTTCCGGTTTAAGCCTGATACCTGCATTGGTTGACAACCTAAAGAAATGGAAAATCGGAAACGCGCATGGAGGGGTAGAAAAAAGTAGAGTACAATAATACTTCTACAAAGTAACCAATATTGGGATCATCAAATTTTATTAGTTTGAGAATTACTAAATAATCAACAAATTAATAAATTATTAATTTAAAGAGTTTTCATAAACAAAAATAAACCATTACCAAATTTATCTAATTTTTATATATATTTAACATCAGAATCAAACAAGTTTTGAAACTCTTTTCAATGCTAAATATATGCATAGTTCATGTTATCTTTGTGGACTACAAAAAAATATCAATAATTCATACTTTACTAAATATCTATGCTCAATTTTTTTTTACTTTCGAGTATATAATATTGTCAGGACCAATAGATACGTGAGAATTTTTTTCGAACATTATTATTTGGATGTTGTTATTGCCAAAACAATAATTAGGATCCAAAACAAATTGCTGACTTTCTTCCTAAATTGCCGTTGTCCTTATTTATTACAATTTCTTCCTTTCTCATCTTATTCCCCTCCATCCTCAGAGGCTCCAAACTTATGAGCTTAATCCAATGTATTTACAAAACCCATATGCTAGCTGTTGCCGTGATGCCTGTATCGAGTCCTGCTTGGATTAGCATGCTGATCGATTATATCAACAACGTAGCCAAAGTCATCAAGGACTTCAATATATTATATATAGACAATACAAGGGATTGGATCTATTAAATCTCCAATGGAATGTCAATCTTGCAAGCATTAACAGAAGTGATTGCTACATGAAGATAGAATGACAAAGGTTTAATTTACAGCATGTGTTTATAAAACTGAAAAAGCGAACAATACCATCCTTGGAACTATTTAGGCAGAACTCGAACTATTGCCAAAAGTAGTCATAACCTCAATTTGCAACAATAGAACAAATCCACTAATTGTTCCAGCCTAAACAAAGAGAAAAAAAAAACCTCAAAGAAAATCAAATTGATGAAGGCAAATGCAATTTATTATCTCAACCTTGGCAGTTAACCCCCTGGGGATTGCGGCAATAGGCAATAGCTAGCCCGATTCTGTTACCGAATCAAATTGTGTTAAAGAAAGATAAATACTCCAATATTTCTTATATAAGAGGTCGAGACAATATGATTTAGTTTTTATTCTGGCTAATGGTTCTTGATCTCTCTAGGTTGATGATGAACATGTCCATGATATATGTGCTGGACAAAGGAGATGTAGATAGATTAGAAGAGAGATGATAATAAAAAAAGAAATTATGCTTGATTTGGATGGGGGTATTTTAGAAAATAAAAAACAACAATTTGTTGTGGATGCTAATTATTGTTTTGGAAATAACAACACCCTTATTATTTTAATATTTTATCGATTTTTACCCACTTTTTACTGATCCAAATTGGGACAGGAAAAAATTATTAATTGCGTCAAATGGTGCATTATAGTGGAGCCACCTGATGAAACCTTGCAGATAAATGCTTCTTGCAAGCCCCGGTTGCCTGATATATAACACTAAGAAGCATCATGATGCAACTGGCAAGCAAGAACCAAGGGAGCCAGTGAGCACCATCCGACCTGGAAGATGTTCTGGTGAAGACATTGAAGAAAGAATTATGGTCAAAGTTTGAAGCTGCATCCATTGTTGGGGTTCGATTTGATGTCTACCCTCATGGAAACAGTGGTGGAAAGTGGAAACATATTTTTAGATAGATTGGAAGAGGTTTCTCCTTGAGATGATTTAACATGGTGTATTCTGGAGAAATATACTGTATTTGGCTTTTGAACGTTGTGTAATTTCTATTTAATTTAATGCAGGGAGTGAGTTTATAGCATCTTTCTAATCAGGAACACAATAACATTTTATAATTTTTGTGCTTATCATTTAAGTGTAGTATGAATGTCGTATAAGATTCGATTCCATTAAAAAAAAAATTTATTAATTTAACGACGTTTTGCTGTATTTATCTTTGATCCGAATTAAGTCAATGTATCAATTGGTTTATTTCCATTTTGGTAACTTCAATATTGAATACATATGACAAGGCAATGTGAAAATTTGGAAGATAAGGTTAATTAGGGGAAAAAATGCATCATTTTTTAAGAGATTGGGACCCAATTCAGTTCACTTAGAATTTGGGAAGATTCGATAATGGTGTGGCTTAAATCTTTAGACGAAAACACTCATTTTCAATTTTCTCATAGCTTCTTTCACCCCATTTAAAAACAAAAACCGAAAAAAAAAAAAAACATGTTTCCCTTCCATCATGCTTCATCAAATTGCATCAACTACAACTGGCCTTAGTAGGTACTCTTACCATCGACCTAATTAATATAAATTGTTGTATTTGTTGTACAACAACAACAAAAAGATAACCATGTGGAGGAAAAGTGCCATATAATGAAGGATTCGGGGAAAAAAAAAAAAAAAAAAAAGGAAAGGAAAGAAACACAACATGAGGAACTTCCCGTTAAATTGAAACAATGCAATATCACATGTCATCAAATTGGGAAATTGAAACAATACAATGGTTGGAAATGCTCTTAGTACATAACTTAATACTCAATGGACCAGTCCACAAGCCCATAAAAACAATCTTTAATTCTTCATATATATTAAAAATATATTTCCATATAACGTTGGCGATACATTAAGCTGGTTTTATTTAACTTTTACGCAGTGATTATATATAACATTATAATAATAACCTTTCTGTCATTTAGAAAGGAGGATAAACAGCCAGCTGCCAAACTATATACTTAATTATCTCAAACCAACCTCTCAGTTTTTTCATTACAAATTTTCAACAAATCGAACCGTGATATCACCCCTGTCGACCGAATACTGAGCATCCCGAGCTACCGTCTCAAAGACTGCGTACCCAACAGCGAAACGGAACTTACCGGTTCCACCAGTTACGGCATATTCTCTAACATCGGCACGTGGCGAGGCTTGCCCTTGAAGTTCCAAGGTACTGCCATTGTACTTTCCGCTGGTGAAAATAATCGAAACCTCTATCACTGCTTTTCGCCCGTCTAGCGACGAGGTTATGTTGGCTCCTTGCACGCGGCCGATTTCACGTGAAAATCGGCTTTTTCCGGCAGTTATCCGGTTATCAAGGATATTAATTGTCCCAAACCGATAGTCTCTTGGCCCTGCGACCAAAATACGTGTAGCCGGATCATTTTGGAAGAACAAAGCCGGCAGCTTTATTTCCCTTGCGGTGGTGAAGGAAAACATTGCCAGCATCAAAATTACACTTAATTTGATGGTCGATGAGAGTGACAGATTTGGCGCCATTTCTTTTTTTTTTCTTGTTGTTAAGGTAAAAGAAAAATGTTTTGCTTACTGAAACTCGGGAATTTGATGGTAGATTATACCAAAACTCATCGATAAGATGTAGTTCACCCAATTCTTTATTGGTAATGTAAAAGTTTATATCGATATTCATAAACAATAAAAATTCTCCAAATTGATAGTGATGGGAGGGTAAAAATTTATTTATGTTAGGAATTATTAAATAATTAGTAAATGAAACCCCCCCCCCCCTTACAAAATTACTTAATTTTCATTTCTTTTAACCATCTGAATCAAGCAAGTATTGAAACTATTCTTGATAGTTAAATCCATATGTAGTTCATATCACATTTAGGCACTAAAAAAATAAATAATCAATAGTTCATATTTTATTAAAAATTTATATTTATGTTTTTGGTTTCTGATTTAGGGTTTGTATTAATTAATTTGGGTGGGAGGGTTGGGTGGTGTAGTTAGAGGATTAGGTTAGAGGATGGTTATTACAGGGAGGTCAAGGGTTCGATTCTCACTTGGGCCATTTAATTTTTTTTTTAAAAAAAAAGGTATGTATTAAGGGGACTAATAGATATATAAAAAAAATTTAAAAATTATTATCTTATTATTTTATTAATTTTTCTCACTTTTTGTATTGGTCCCAAGTTAAAACGGTAGAAAATTATTAGTTACTCAAAATTATTGATTTAGTGAACGTTTTAGTGAACTTTAAAATGTATAAGCTGTCCTTTTTTTTAGAAAAAAAAATTAAAGATAATTGGGATTTAAATGAATACAAGTGTGCAAACTAAAGCCAACTTTGGAACAAGATAAGACAAACTCCAAAATTGATCAAAAAATGGCTTGCACTAATTTTTTTTGATAAAAATAAGAGATAATAAAAAATAAGCACAAACAATAAACATTAGGATTCAACCCTCAACCTCACGACAAACTGTCAAATGCAGTCACTAGAACACGACTCAGATCCTAAAAGTACACAGATACAATAGGCCCAATGACACTATAAGTCTAAACTTTTCTTAGTATTTTCCATCTTTTTAGGATACTCTTTGGGATTCTAATCTAATTTTCACTCTTCAGTTGGATACAACAGAGCTAATACAAATGCGTAAAAGAAAATATTGAAGAAATAATACAGGAAAATCTTATAGCAAACGTAAAATTAAAAATGGATACCAGATCCCTAGTAACTCCTCTTCATATCTTCCTCTTCAGAATCTTTGTTTTGGGCGAACTCAAATTAAATCTGTAACCAGTCTTTTATCAATCTCATCAGATATATCAAGAAACGACAATAAAAACAATACAAAGAACAACACAAACACACAAACAAAAAACCAAAAACATGAAAAAAGGCATCTTCCAATCCACCAGTAAAGCAATAGGGGGAGATCGGTTTTGTAAAATTTTGAAAGTATAAGAGAAGTAGGGCATGTTCTAATGGGCGCTACTGAGTACTGAATATTTGCCTTGTTTAGTGGGAAACTAATTATATGTGGACCAACAAATTTAGGCTGGGGATAAATTCCAAATACCTTGAAAGTTTTATGTGATACTTTTATATTGTAAAAACATGTGACACTCAAAGATCATGTACCATGACAGTGTTAATTAAGTTCGAGGATCAGCTGCGGCAATGGGACTTTCCTCTTAGGAACCTTATGAGTCTCCCCACCAACATTACCCATAATGGAGTGACCCTCCTCATCCACCCTTCATGCATGTTGGCTCATAGTAGATAATAATTTTCAAAAAAAAGAAGAAATACTCTCTTTTGAGTTATGACCATGCTTTATAAATAGAACCGACGGAAGTAGAAAGCATAAATAGAATATGTTAGTAACCTTTCTTGGGGAAAAAATACATATATGTTAATAACTGGAAGAAAAATAGAAAAATCACACTCAACCAAAGCAAATTTTGATCTTAATTTAGTACGGACAACATATATACAGACATGAAGATTCACAGAACTAAGTAACAAACAACAAAAGAAAGAGAAGAAAACAAAGCGGCTACAATAATTTATACCTGGTCCTAAAACAATGTCGTGTATAGTTGGTCTTTAGATCCTAAAGGGATCTCTCTGTTCCTTTTATACAACCTACACATAGGAACATGAAACCTGAAGTGTTTTAAGAGACATGGCCTATTACAACAAATTTGCACCGCATAGAGAATAAAAAAAAGAGCCAAGAATGAATTTAGTGCGAAAAATTTTGGTGCAAAATATTGTGCTTAATTATTGCAGCCCTAGTAAGTACAAATTAAAGTAAGGGTGTTGCTTAGGCATACAAAGACCCTTTGCTGGCTGAACCGTTGTGAAGAAAAACGTAATCGGTTCTCTAATGAACGTTGGATGTGGTGTTCCAGGCAAGTAAATGGGATCATTTTTTAAGAGTTGGGACAAAATTCAGTTCTCTTAGAATTTGGGAAGGATTTCAAGATTGGCGCAGCTTTAATCCTTGAGACAAAAACACTCATTTTCTATTTTCCCACAGCTTCTTTCCCCCATTTAAAAACAAAAAACCAATTTTTTTTTTTTTTTAAAAAAAAGATGGTTTCCCTTCCATCGTGCTTCCTCAAATTACATCAACTACAACCAGCCTATATATGATACTCTCACCATCCACCTAAAATAATTGTTTTGTTTTATTGGACCATCTAGCAACAACAACAAAAAGGTAGCCATATTAAATTGAATTAATGCAATTGCACACATCATCAAATTGGGAAATTGATACGAGGATATTAGTAACTGAACATATTATGAAATGAATCAGTCCACAAGTACATGTAGACGATCTTTAATTCTTTTTATATATTATAATTTTATTTTCCTTTTACATTTGGCAATTCATTAAGATGGTTTTATTTAACTTTTACTTAGTGACTATAATATTATAATAATAGCCTTTCTGTCATTTAGAAAGGATATTGATAAACAACCAGCTGTATACGTAATTATCTCCAACCAACCACTCTTTTTTTTTTTCATGACAAATTTTCAACAAATCGAACCGTGATATCAAGCCTGTCGACCGAATACTGAGCCTTCCGGACTACGTTCTCAAAGGTGGCGTACCCGACCGCGAACCGGAACTCACCGGTTCCGCCAGTTACGGCATATTCTCTAACCTTGGCACTTGCTGAGGCAACCCCTTGCACTTCCAAGGTACTACCATTGTACTTTCCGCGGGTGAAAATAATCGAAGCTTCAATCACCGCTTTTTGCCCGTCTAGCGACGAGGTTATGTTGGCCCCTTGTATGCGGGCGATTTCACGCGAAAATCGGCTTCTTCCGGCAGTTATCTTGTCATCAGCGACGGCAATCGTCCCGAACCGAAAATCTCTTGGCCCTGCGACCACCGTACGCGTAGCTGGATCATTTTGGATGAACAAACTCGACAGCTTTGTTTCCCTTGCTGTGGTGAAGGAAAACATGGCCAGCATCAAAATCGCACATAAGTTGATGGTTGATGATACTGACAGATTTGGCGCCATTTTTTTCAAGGTAAAAGAAAAATGTTTCGCTTACTTCAATTAACTATACAAACAAACACCTTATTTATAGTGTTCAGGATCCATGTGCAATCGTGTGTAACTAATGAAATGAGTTATATTGCCGTTTTTTATGTCAAAGTTATATTAGTATAAGTTATGACTACATTTATTTAGGTTAGGTAGATTCGGTAAAATTTAAATAACCTATAAAGTTATTTGTGATTAGGATAGAGAGAACCAAACGGCCTAGAGTTTGCATTAATTTGTAAATTATGTTATGCACGGATGGTGATATTTTGCCATTCTTATAGGATTTTGATAAAATTCTCTAGGGCGAACTACATTTTTATCTTCCGAGTTTTGGCATGATATACCGTAAATCCATCGAGTTTAGATAATAGTACCAAATACCCCCTGAACTTATCGTAAATCTATCTAAGGCTCCCTTAAGATATTAAAATTAGCATCAACTTCTGGAAACAGTAAAAAGAAAACCTTTCGATCTATATTTTTTTAACTCTACAATATATCATTTACTTAGTTAAAAATACCGTATTAATCCTTTTATTTTAATGCACTTAAACATATTCAAAAATAATTAATGCTGGAATCTAAAAATAATTAATGCACTTAAATGATAATTCTTGAAATTAACTATATCATTGCTTTTGAAATAAAATAATTTTTAGTGGTCAAAAACAAAACCGAAAGAGAAAAGGAAATGAAGCGTATGTGTGCCATGGTCAATTAAGTCATTTTATGGTTTCTCCCATACTCAAGTGGCATATGGTAGTATTACCGAAACTCGAGAGATTTGTGGTAGATTATACCAAAATTAACTTGAGGGTAAAATGTAGTTCGCCCAGTTCCATATCAGTAATATAAAAATTTGTGAAAATTTATATCGAGATTCATATACATTAAAACTTATCTAAATTAATAGTGTTGGGAGCAAAAAAACTTATTAATATAGAGAATTATTAAATAATCAGTAAATTAATAAATTATTAATTGAAAGAGTTTCCTTTTTTAAATAAAAAAGAAAGAACCCTAACTAAATTACCTAGTTTTCAATTACTTTAACCATCTGAACCAAGCAAGTACTGAAATGATTCCCGGTAGCAAAATTCATATGTAGTTCATGTTATCTTCAAGGACTAAAAAAATAAATATTAATAGTTCATATTTTACTAAATATTTATAGTCATTTTTTTTTTATTTAGGTATGTATTAATTTAGAGTATTTTTGGGACTAATAGATATAAAAAAAAGTTCTAAAATATTATTATATTATTACTTTCTAAAGGTAAACAAAACTGATAAAAATAATATTATAAAAAATTTTCTATATATCTACTAGTCCCGAAAATACTATAAATTAATAAATACCTAACTCAAAAGAAATAATAATGGCTATAAATATCTAGTAAAATTATGAACTATTAAAATTTTTTTTCTTTTTTTTTTTACTTTTTATACTGGTCCCAAGTTGGAGTGGAAGAAAATTATTAATAATTCAAAATAATGTTTTAGCAACGTTTTAGTGAACTTTAAAAAATATAAGATATCCATTTTTTTTATTTAAAAAAAAAAGGAAATTTTGGATTTAAATGACTACGAGGAGTTTTGTGCATTAATGCTAACTTGGAACAAGATGGTTTAAAACAAACTCCAAAATGGGTCAAAAAATGGCATGCTCTATTTTTTTTTTTTTAATAGTAAGAGCCAATTATATTAAACATAAGGACAAACAATAGACGTTAGAATTGAATTCTCAATTTCGCGATGAAATCTAAAACTTTGTCACTAGAAATCCTAAAGTACACGGATACAATGAGCCCAATGACACTAGCTATAAGTCTAACTAGTTAGAAATTTTTCATCTTTTCAAGACACCATTTGGGATTCTAATCTAAGTTTCACTCCTCAGTTGGATACTAATACAAATGCATAAAAGAAAAATTAAAGAAATTACATGGAAAATCTTAGGGCAAACATAAAATTTAACTCCTCTACATATCTTCCTACTTTGAATTGTGTGCTCTTCTTCAATCTCTCTCCCAGTCTCCACCTCTTGAGAATCTTTGTTATGGACAAACTCGAATCAGATCGATAATCAGTTTTCTAACAATCTCATCAGATATATCAAGAACAACAACAAAAATAAAACAATTAAAAACACAAAATAACACAAACACAAAACAAAAAATGAAAAATGGCATTTTCCCATCCACCATTAAAGGAGGATGGGGGATATGGGTTTATAAAATTTTGAAAGTAAGAGAGAATGGGGCATGCTCTAATGCGCGCTACTGAGTACAGAATATTTGCCTTGTTTAGTGGGAAACTAGTTTTATATGGACCATCAAATTTAGGCTCATGATAAATTTTAAATACCTTAAAAGTTTTCTATGATACTTGTATATTAATTATACTCTAAAAGATCATGTACCATTTCTTCAGATGTTGAAGTTCGAGGATTAGCTGCGCCAATGGACTTTCCTCTTAGAACCTGATGAGTCTCCCCACCAACAATACCCATAATGGAGTGGCCCTCCTCATTTACCCTTTCATGTTGGCTCATAGATAATAATTTTTTTAAAAAAAAAAAAAAGAAATACTCTCTCTTATGAGTTACTACCATGCTTTATAAACAGAACCGAAGGAAGTAATAAGTTAAATAGAATATGTTAGTAACCCTTGTTGAATATATATATATATATATATATATATATATATATATATTTATACATATATTATATATATATTTATACATCTATACTCTCCGTCTCAAATTATTTTGTCCATTTTAGATTTTCAATTTTAGCACAAATTAAACAAAAACTAAAAATTCAAATTTGACTATAATTTTAGAACATAAGGAGTATATGTTAGTAGCTGACATAAAAATTTAAAAAAAATTAATATTCAACCAAAGCAAATTTTGGCCTTAATTTAGTACGGACAACATATATACTGATATGAAGATTCACAGAACTTTGTACGAAACAAACAACAAAGAAAGAGAAGAAAGCACAAAGCGCCAACAAATATATAGGGTCCTAAAACAATATTATGTATAGTTGGTCTCCAGATCCTAAAAGGGATCTCCCTGTTCCCTTTATACAACCAATATATGGGAACATGAAACCTCAAGTTTCTTCAGAGGCATGATCTACTACAACAAATTCAACCGCATACAGAATAAGAAAAAAAAAAAAAGCCAAGAATGAATATTGTGCAAAATATTATTGTGCAAAAAATTTTGGTGCAAAATATTGTGCTTATTGCAGCCCTAGTAAGTACAAATGAAGTAAGGATGTTGCTTAGGCATACAAGACCCTTTGCTGGGGGACTTCACATTCTAGTGAGGAAAAACATAATTGTTGGAATAATCCAAATACTGTCGAGACCTTCACATCAAATTATTGAGAACTATACGAAAGCGGAAGCGTACCTTAATCTGTAGCGGCAAGAACATCGATCCGGTTTAGTCTTCCAGATGATTCCGTCAAGCCCTTGCGGGAACTTCTGACAAATGGGGAGTCGAAGATTTGGCATGACGGCTCATCCGGGGACCACAACCAATAAATAATAGGATTTTCAGTTCCACCCATCACAGAACAGGAAACTGGGCCTTAGGGTTTCTACACAATACTGGGCCACACCTTATAACTTAATTATTATAATTAGTCCAAACTTTAGTTGATTTAATTAGATCACTTTATGTGAGCTAGTATTTTATGATAGTTTATAACATACAATTATATATATATTAGTGTATAAAGTCCACATAGATCTTACAATAATAGCTTCTCTGCTGAATGTTGGATGTGGAATTCTATGCAAGTAAATGGGATCTTTTTTTAAGAGTTTGGGACAAAATTCAGTTCGCTTAGAATTTGGGAAGAATTCAATATTGGCGTGGCTTAAACTTGAGACGAAAACACTCAATTTCTATCTTCCCACAGCTTCTTTCCCCCATTTATAAACAAAAAACAAAATTAAAAATAAAAATAAAAAAATAAAAAACAAAAATGGTTTCCCTTCCATCGTGCTTCCTCAAATTACATCAACTACAACCAGCCTTAATATGAAACTCTCACCATCGAACCAAAATAATTGTTCTATTTTATTGGACGATCCAGCAGCAACAACAAAAAGGTAGTGATGTGGGAGAAAAGCGATTTAGAATGAAGGATTCGGGGAAAAATAACAAACATCTTATTAAGTTGAATTAATGCAATCTCATATATATCAAATGTGGAAATTGATAGGAGAACATATGTATAAGTAACTGAACATATGACGAAATGAACCAGTCCACAAGCACATATTATCGAATTGGGAAATTGATACAAGAACATATGTATAAGTAACTGAACACATGTTGATGATCTATAATTTTTTTATACATTATTAGTATAAAAAAGACTGAAGTGTCCAAATGGTCCCTTACATTTGGGTCTACTTGAATTTACATCCATAATATTAACATTTTAATATCGTAGTTCCAAACATTATGTTTTCAAACTTTTTTGGTCCCATTTCCCTGTTTCCGGCTGTTAACGTACTGGAATCAGGGGTATTATTGTCTTTTAATTTAATTTCAATTTCAATTAAAATTTAAATCATTAAAAATATTCTAAAATTTAGATTTTATTATTTAATTGTTCAAATATTATTTATTAATTAAAAATATTATTATAAAATTTTAAAATTTACATTATTTTCAAAATTAATTTTTTCATTTATTATTTACCTAGGTCAAAGTAAATAGTAATTCTATTGTACTTTTAACCCTGGCCCCACTGTAACTTAAAAAAATTACTGAGTTATAGTAAATAATTCAAAATTCAATTTCTTAAAAAAAAAAAGAAAAAGCAAAACTATTTTTTTTTACTCTGACCGCTAAAGTAAACCCTAAATGATAATTATGTTGCACTTTTAATCTTGGACCCACTATAACTTAAAAAATTTACCGAGTTACAATAAATATTTCAAAATTTAATTTTTTTAAAAAAATATATATAAAACCAGGATTTTTTTTTACTTTGACTGCTACAGTTGAATTTTGAATTATTT